CAGGTGTAGCCTTCCTGCACCCGCACGCAGCGGCCGTTCTCACAGCCGTTGAGGATGCCGCACTGCTCCGCCTGCAGCTCCTCGAAGCTGTTCAGAAAACCTGGGGAGGGACGGACGAGAGGTCACTTACAAAGGGTCAGCCCTTTTCTCCAAGTGGCCGAGTTCTTGCGGTTACGTCTCATCGCGGAGACGTATTTCTGCGCCCTTGAAGTCGGCACTACAATATTGTATCTGCACCTCCTGTCGCATCTACTTATGACATCTGTGTATCGTCATGAACTGGCAGAGCACGCTGCTGTTGTCCTTGTGACCTGCTGTAAGTGGACTTCGTCTCATGGCGAAGATTTCGTGTTCAGGGAGATTGGGGAACACAGTTTTCATTGGCCTTTTTTTTTAATTCCAAGTCCCCCGCGAGGCTTTTCTTCTTAATCTGCATCTGGAAGTTCCATGGAAACCCGGTCAGCACCCATTTCCCCGATGCAAGGGGACAAGGCCGTAGAAGGGATCCCGACCACCCGATTAAGCGAGTAAAGAGCAGCCTCCTGGTGCTGTCCGACCACAGGCCCGTTTTCACGGAAACAGAGAAGGTTTGTGGTGTCGTGGCTGACACAATGGGCTGCTGACACAGGTTGGAAATCACCAGCTGCTCTGCAGGGGGAAGACGAGGCCTTCTCGTCCTGTGAAGAGCAAGAGTCTCGGAAACCCCGGGCAGCCCACTCTGCTCTACAGGGTCACTGCGAGTCAGAGTGGAGTGGGTGACGGTGAAGCGGCGAGGGGCTTTGGGTTTGTTTTTAGTGAGCTGTGTCTTAGGGATGTGGGGCTGGAGTGTCTAGGGTTCTTGTGATATAAAAGAGACTTTAGCCAGGCACCAAAGGGTTTAAGTCTGTTTCTATAGAGAAACATTGTAAACACAAATGGAAGGTGACCCAAACACATGACTGGCGTTGGCTCCCCACCCTCCGCCCACCACGTTCTTCCACTGACATTAAGTCGATTTCAAATCATAGCCAATGTAGACGGGTTTAGAGGCTGTAATTGCTGACGGGAGCAGACAGTCTCATGATGCTCCAGAGGAGCAGCTGGTAGGTTTGAACCACTGACCTTGAGGTTATGAGCGCTGTGCCTAATCCTTAGTTCCACCAAGGCTCCTTATCACCTTAAGACAACAACAACAACGTACTGCCACCAAGTCAATGCTGATGCACACAGACCACGTAGGACAGGGTAGGACTGCCCCTGTGGTTTTCCTAGATGGTAACTCCTTACAGGAATAGAAAGCCGCATCTCTCTCCCGTGGAGCAGCTGGTGGTTTTGAACACTGGACCCTGTGGTCAGCAGGCCAACACCCGTCATGCGGCCACATTAGAACGAAAGAAACAGCCTGCGGCTGTACAGTGGATTCTGACGCATAGATATCCTACAGGACTTAGGAGAATTGGCCCTGAGGGTAGTCAAGGCTGTAAACCTTTACAGGAGTAGACAGCCTCTTCCTGCCTCCCTCTCACAACATTAGTGAAGCCAGACCTCACAGAACAGCTGGCCTTTGAAGCAATTCTCCCATAAAACTGAAGGGGGCAGCAAACTATCATTGTTTATGTGGGGCCTTATGTTCCAGTTCAGTGATTACAAAATTGTGCAAGGCACTGATATACAGGGGGGGAAATATTATAAATCAAGAATATGTTAGCAGGTCTCCAAAGCCAATTTAGGAAGTGTTTTTTACAAAAATAAAACCGTAATTTATGAAAATGAATTCAAATACCAGGTACCACAGCAAGCATGATTTTGTCATTAGAGCTACTAAAATTATTTCGTTTTTGTTCTTATGAAAATTAAAACATGAAATTCAACTTTGAAATTCCAACCTCCATATCAAGCAGATTCCTTTAAATCTGTGGTTCTCAACCTTCCAAATGCCACGACCCTCTCATACCGTTCCTCATGTTGTGAGGACCCCCCTACCATACCATTATTCTTGTTGTGACTGCATCACTGTAACTTTGCTACCGGGATGAACCGGGCGACCCTGTGAAAGGGTCGTTCGATCCCCAGGTTGAGAACCGCTGCTTTAAACACTTGTTTCAGGGCTCTAGGACGGCGGCCAGCCAGCTACAGCCTCTGCTCGATGTCAAGCCTCCTGCCCACATTTTGAAAATACAGTCTGAGTGGGACAGTCATAGGCTTATTTTCTGCCATGCAGGCCAAGAGCAATAGTTGCGACAAAGGCTAATGAACGACTAACCCCAAAACCCACCAGCACGGAGCTGATTCCGACTCACACGGATCCTGTAGGGCAGGGCAGGAGGAGCCCGTGTTTCCAAGACTGCACATCTGCTGCAATCAGACAGCTCTGTCTCTCCTCTGGAGGGGCTCACGGGTTAGAACTGCCAGCCTGGTGCCTCCGTCCATTGCTGCCCATTTAACCACTATAGATTCTTATAGGAACTTTACGGCCTACACATTTTACTATCTGGTCTTTTATAGGGAGGGGGAAAAACCCAACTTGTTTAATTCCTGCTTCAGAAATAGTACTCTAACTAAAGGTAACACCAGCCATCAATTTAGCTCTCGTTAAAAAACCAAATCCAGTAGGGACAAGAGAAAAGCAAATGGCTGGTGAGGGTGAGAAGAAGCTGTGGTGTCTTCTCTCTGCTATTACCTGCCTTCCGTGGTTTATTTGCTCAGCGTGGCAGAAGGCCCAGGGACTGGCCAGCAAACTGACCAAGGAGGAGAGCCACTGTGGGGGACGTGTGAGGAATCTCAAGTAAAAGCTGGAGGTTAGGGCTGACAGCATCTTGGCTCCCTCTGAAGTTAAATAGGAAATCGATGTGGCACCAGCATGTTTATTTCCGAACATTTGTATCAAATTAAAAACACCCAGCTTTAATACAACGTCAGCATTAAAAGAAGGTGCAGCTGCCAGAGTGTCTCAACAAGAACATTGCTGCAATCTCCACAATAACACGGTAAAGGCGGTCCCCGTGGATCATGGGATGGACTGACTCAGAGTTGCCTTGACTAACCTGCTATCTCTGGATTCCTGGGAGAACTGAATTTTTTTTCTAGCTTAATAGTTCTACTTCCCTCTAAATTTTCATGCTTCTCTATGCCCTGCCTCCTTTTAAATTTTTGAATATCAATGGTATATATAATATAGATACCGAGAGGCGTGCATGTTGTAAGTACACGGTCTTATAGTTGTCAGTGCATTTAAGCATATACCTTAAAGCAATACATGATACGCTTTGTTTGGTAAAGGCAGCAGTGCTGTTAACCTGAGGGCAGAGGTGACCCAAGGGGCATTGGAGGAGGGCATCAGGGGTCTTGTGGAGGTGTGCTGACCAATTTAGCTGGATTAGGGACTGCTGTTTACATAGACATTTTAAATAATTCTTGATTCTTCTGCTAGATGGCCAACATACTGCACCCTCCTCCAAGAATTAATTAAATAAACTCACTGAGGGAGGTGGAAAGAGGTGAGGGAGAGAGGCAGGGCAGGAGAGCGAAGCTCTGGTGGCCGTGGAAGAATTCTCACCTCCCACACGGGCAGCCCCGGGTTCCACTTCCAGCCATCAAGCACAGCCAACCCCCGTGTATCAGTGGAGGCTTGCCTGTTAGCATGGTGCTCGACAGTGTCCGGGGAGCTCCCAGACTAAGACCGGCCAGTGCAGTGCAGTGAGTGATGGATGGCTCTTCTGGCCATAGTTGGTTTAGGTGAGTCCCACCAAATGACCTCTCCCAGATGGGCCTGGGAGAGAAGATGGAGGAGGATCCTGAGATGGTACGACTCCACTGGCCATGCGTGCCACCTGCTGGGTAGCAGGGAAGTGGTGGCAGAAGCAAGGGGTGGGATCTCACTCGCAGCAAGAGAGGAGAGCCGGGAGGAGAGAGCCGCTGCTTGGCCTTTTCAGCTGGGCCTCCTGATCAAGCTGCACCAGCTTCCTCAGCCTTGGGGATGAGGAGGGCTCCCCAGGTTAAGGTGACCAGATTTTAACATTGGTAAAGCGGGACACCATTGATAAAACTCATATCCTGGCAAAATAGCCACACGGCAGCCGAAAACCATATACTCTAGCTTGTCGTGCATTCTTTCCAAAAATCAGGACTTTTTAAAAACGCCACGGGATGCGGGAAAAATTATTAAAAATCGAGACTGTCCTGCCAAAAGCGGGACGTCTGGTTACCTTACCCCAGGTGGAAGTCTGCATTTCATATGAGGGATTTACCAGCACCGACAACCACGCGAGCCACTTTCGTTCACTTTGTGAGTGGTCAGTGCAGTCAACTGCAGAGCGCGGGGCTTAGGCTAAGGCCCCAGAAACGCACAGGGGCAGTTGTCCTCTGTCCTACAGGGTCCGGCTGGGTCAGGGAAGACCTCGGTGGCAGGGAGTTTGGGGATATAGTCAGGAGAGGAGCGGTAGTTGATATCAGGGAAAAGGGTGCCCTTTGGAAAAGCGGGACATAGGGAACCTCCATTTCTTAGAGTTTTCTTGTATTAATGTTTCTAAATGAAATGGTTCCCCTAATTGCTGTACTCAGCCAGACCACCGACTCTGGAGAAATCAGCCAATGACACCCGATGGGGTCGCAATGGTTCAAACCCACCCCCCACCCCCCACCACGAGGGGGGCTCTGTCCCAGGCAGCATCTTGTTCGGTTGTGCGCAGGGTCACCATGAGGCAGGGTTCACCAGATGGCAGCTGACACCCAAGCAGAATTTAGGGAGCCCCCCAAACGCAACCTCGAGGCTTTGTGCTATGCCCCAGCAACCAGACCAGGTGATGGGACCTGACGAAATTACAACAAAAACAGAACATGCCGCTGTGCTTTGTCCATCTACAGCACCTGCCGGCTTCGAACTCAACCCCCCTGGCCTACAGCGTGTCCAGGTCTTGCACATGTGGTGGCGAAGTGGACACGCGTCAGGAGGGTCATTCTGGTGAGACTTGGTCAAACGTCTGGAATCTGCTCTGCCCTCTAGGAAGTCTTTCTCAGACGGAGATTACCTGCTACCTGCCCACACTGCCCTCTGCAGGGCCGTTTTCCAGACTCACGAATCCACCCGCCTTTGCCAGCTCTGATGGGCGTGGGTGCTGGCCGAGGGGCGTCGGGAGACCCTGACGTTCTGCGTGCCAACATTTGCACACACACCCCTGACACACATTTCCTCCTCCCCCTGAAAAGCTCGGCTTTCAAGTCTCGGGGAACTTAGCACGTGTTATTTTTATTGACTAAATCCCCCCACCAGGGTGTTCTAAAAATTCGTTTCTGACCTCCTACACTAAAAATAAAAACCCTGCACTTGTGAATATTAGCTGGCCCCAGTGAGCATTTGTCATCTCATCTGAAAAGTGACAACCATGCAGTTGGGCTCTCAAGAAAACCCCGGTCCTCGGAACAGACCGCCACTGAATGTGTCCAGAAATGATCTTGCTGTGGGCATTCTAGCAATAAGACCATTCATTGTCTTGTCTTTGGGGTGGCGCTGTGTTTTGGGTGCGGGTTGATGCAGCAGTGTAGGTTCCCATTCCACAGTTCCCACAGCGACAGTGGTTACCGTCCCCACAAGGTGTGAACACTCTCGTCCCCCTAGCGGTGGCTCGAGGTTCAGTTTCCATTCATCTAGTCTTCCAGCCCGTCGCTCTCAGCTTTGTCGGAGACTAGCTGGCAACCATTCGGTCTCCACTCACTCACTCATGCCTTTGAGCTGATTCCGACTCACAGCGACCCGGACACCCTAATTCCTTCCAGGATTAGAAAGACTGGCCTTTTTCGGAACGGCTGCTCTTGCGGTTAGCGACCTATTGCATAACCACTCCGTGGCCAGAACTCTTCTTGGTCTCCTAGAGACGACCCTTTCTTGACTTTTACAGAAACGGATCAGTGCCCTTCCCAGCAAGACCTGATCGTCACCTGCAGTGGTTCTCAACCTGGAGTGTGCCTAAGAATTCTCAGAGGGCTTGAAGCACACACGCGGCTGGGTCCCTAAAGCTGCACGTGCCTAACAGGTTCCCAGAGATGTCCTGAAACCCCGTCCCGACTTATGCGAAGGACCCACAATTTCAATGGATACCGTTTCGCTTCAGAGTAACTGAGAGGCTCTGCTTACGGTCTTGGATGAAGTAGGGATCGGCTTCTGGCGTGTACTGCTCGCTGAAGTCAACCAGGGCATCCCGTCCGTACGGCCGCCGGTGGCCCACCATGGGGATATTGCACAGCTGGGCGTAGTCATCTAGAAAGGAAACAACACCCAACATGAGAGCCTCGCACCCGCTCACGGCTCCCAGCACCAGGACCTGCCAGGTCCCACACCAAGGTCCACACCTCGCACGTCGAACAGTGGTCCACACAGCCACGTGTCCTGCGCGTTGAAGAGCTCATTAGAGCTCCTGGATTAAGACCAGAAACAGTCGCTGGAGAGCTGGGAGGATGCCTCCCAGGCTCGTCCAGACCTGAAGAAACTAACCCCAGGCATCGTGGTGGGCTGGCTGATATGTGCCTGCCAGGAGTCCTCACCAGGAACCTTGCCAAGGCCGTCTGCAGACATCCCTTCCCACTCACCAGAGGCCAAGGAGAGTCTGGTGTTGTCAATGCTGGGTACCTTGGCTAGGGACCGAAGGGCTGGAGGTTCTGTCCATCCAGTTACCTCCGAAGAAAGGCTTGCTGACCAAATTCTGCAAAACCAGCCAGTAAAAGCCTTATTGAACACAGTTCTCCTTGGATCCATATGGGGGTGCCGGGAATTCGAGCTGACTCGGCAACAGGGGGCTAGGCACCCAGGTGGTGAGACACCCCAGGGAGAATGGAACCCAGGACTTTCACTGGACACTGGAGCTAGTCGCTGCCTCACGGTGCTGAAGAGGAGGGACGTGGTAACGACAGAGTGCAGCCGCAGCAGCAACAATGAAACGGAGCTGTTCTCAGATGGCACCCAGGTGGTTGCTGACCCACCTGGTCATCCCAGCCCCACGGACAACATCACGACACACTGCCTGTCCCTGAACCCGCTGTCGTAGCTGCTGGGTCACTCGCTCCCGCTCAGCAGGGGTCTTTATCTTCTTCACTGACCCTCTGCTTTCACAAGCATGACCCCCCCCACACCCGCCCCCAGCCCTCACAGGGGCTGGTCTCTTCCCTGAACCCACCTAAAATATGTGACATGAAGTCCCCGCCTCCTCACCTCTAAGGACCTTTCTGGCTTCTTCTTCCAAGTGGGATTTGTTTGTTCTTCACACTCTTGCTCTGGGCCCTCTTCTAATAAGCACACCCCACTCTCACTCGCCACACTGCGACTATTCCCACGTTACGGAGAGAAAATGGAAGCGCAGAGAGATGAAAGGGCAGCTGGTCCGGGTGGCAGGGCCAGGGGTGACCTCAGTGTGGCCGCGCCAGATGACATGCTTTTAAGCGCCATCATGCCATCCTCACTTCCTCTACACCCCAGCTAGAGAGCCCGCGTGCCACTCCCAAGGCCACAGCCACGGGCCGTTGGGTCAGCCGCAGGGTCATCTGACTCCTAAATGTCCCTTTAGTCCTCCCTACAGGACCCCCCTCTCCACCCATGACCTCTTGGTTCTCCAATTTCCTGGGATGACTGACTGAGCTTTCAATGAACATGAACGTCCATAGGTCCAAGTTCTTGCCAGCAACTTAAGAGCAAGGTTATTTAGAAGGTGAAGGGAGAAAGCTTTGGAAAGGACAGTCCCATGTTCTGTAAGGCACAGCTGCAGGAAGCAGCCAGCCTGAGGAATCATGTACCAGGCAGAGAGAATTCTGGGCCCCCCAGACCTCGTTCACTCTGCCAGCACGGAGCTGAAGGCAGGAGAACAGGGGGGACCCTCCCAGGGCTGCCCCACAAAGCCTGGCTGCAGCGTAGGGGAGTTTTCCTCCCTTTCGTTTCCTCGTGTGAAAGAGGAATAAGACGAAGAGCACTGAGGCCGTCGCGCGGACTTGCCCGAGGCTTTCTTTTGTCTCCTCTACTGGGATTTCGAGAGGGGCCTAGGGTCTGCCTGTGTGCCCCTGTGTGGGGAAACACACAGATGCCCCTTCCCTCCCAGAGCTGCACACAGTAACCATCAGGCCAGAAAAGACTTTGAACCGCAGAGCAGGGTAGAGCTCGAGTTGCCTCTGCCAAAAACCCTCCTGGTTGAAGCAGCATCGGAGGACTAGCGCGCAGACGCCTGACCTCCCCAGCGTGTTTGCGCGCAGCTATTCTGCGAGAAATATTAATTTCATGAAGGGCGCAGCTGAACTTAGAAACGAGATCCTTGATTCAAAAAGGACAGCTTCAAAGAGCGGCCAAATGGTTGTCTGCTCTGCTTGAAGTTTGAAAAGCAGAATTAAGGGTTTCCCTGAGAGAGCGGGGATCGCTGAAATGTTTACACATTTCTGGTACTGATATCATTTTTCTCTCATGACTTGTTATATACATTCCTTGTCCATCGGAGAGGGGGGTTGTTCAGTCCTCTGATAGCCAAGCGAACAGTTCCAATCAAGAGTTGGTCTCAAAGATACGTATTTACTTTGTAAAGCAAAATCTGGAGACGGCCCAGCATGCTCCTCTCGGATACACGGTTGTCCCCTCCGGTCCCAGTACTGTCAGTCAACACAGCTGGGGCCTAAGCAAGGTTGTGGAACCCTCCCGCCTCCCTTTTCCCAGTAAACCATGTCTCCTCCAAGGGACAATGAGGGCTCTAGCCACCTGCCCATGCGATAGGAGGGACCTGCTGGTGAGGCGTGGAGCCGGGCAGCACTTGCTCCCAGCCTACACAGTGCCCACAAGCAGATCCTGGCAAAAGGGGTCCTGGAAGTAAAACTGTGCAGATGAGTAGGAAAATGATAGTTAAATGATAGTTTGTAATCATTATTTTTTTAAAAGCATCAGGAAAGGAAATTTGTGAGTTGGGTCTGGGGTCTGTCAACCAGCTTTTTCTTCAAGAAGTGGCAGCCCTGCCCTGGCAGTTCAGGGACAATGGAAAGTAATGGAGGTAGGCCTCCCAAGCTCTTGGGTCAGCTTACCTCCCTTCATCCCCCCTCCCTCTTCCACCTCCCCGGGGTGCAATTTTCCCTGAAGATTCTTGAACTTGTTCTCTCCAGCTTCACTTTCCCTAATACATTAGCATTCCAAACTTGAGGGCTTTGGGTGAGTTATCAAACATCATTTCTGCATTAGATGCACTCTCTCTAGTATGTGGAGATGTGCTACAGCTCCGTCATCACCAGGCTGGGTAATTTGAGTTATATTCTGGGAGCACAGATGGGTCTGTCCTCATCTACCCACTGCCCCCCCGCCCGCCCCCGCCATACCCCACCACCACCACCACCCGTGGAGCACATCTGCTCTGACTCGCGGCCAGGGTCAAGGGTGTGGTGAGAACCGGGTAATGGAAAGAACCTGGGCTCTGCAGGCCGAAGATGGGGTTCAAGTCCTGGCAGCCCCACTTACTTTCCAGTTTGGTAAGTGAGAGACAGCCTTAGTTTCCACGTCTGTCACACAGAGATATATTAATTCCTGCTTTGCCTACCTGTGGGTTATTGAACTATAAACCATGAGGTGAGGTGGAGCGGTTCATAAATTGTGAAGCACTACGAAAACCAAGGCACCCTGGCGGTGTCGTGGGTTACTCGTTGGGCTGCTAAACACCAAGATCAGAAGTTTGAAATCACCAGCTGGCTCCTGAGAAGAAAGATGAGGCTTTCTACTCCCATGAAGAGTTAGAGCCTCAGAAACCCACAGGGACAGTTCTACTCTGTCCTAGACAGTCACTATATGTTGAATAGACTTAATGACAGTGAGTTTGTTATTTTTGGTGTTGTTGTTACACACACAAACAATGGAGCCCATTGTTGTTGAGTAGATTCTAACTCAGGTCAATGTCATGTGCTGTCACTCTACAGATTTTTCTTGGCTGTAACCTTCATAGAAGCAAATCACCAGGCCTTTCTGTCTCAGTGCCGCCAAGTGTGTTTGAAGCACGAGCCTTTAGGTTAGTAGCCAAGAACAACAAACTGCTCATGCTCCCCAGGGACCGATGGAGATGCAAAGGGAAGACAGAGTTTCTTCTCATAGGTGAAACCAGGAAGTTTCTAAGGAACATCTGGAGACAAGTGAGCATTTGCCAACGGTGGGATTAGAAGGAGTGAAGAATACACAGACGCCGGTCCGCAAAGCTAAGAGGCAGTTAGTTGTCAATGAGTGTGGGGCCCTGTGATAGCGCCAAAGCTGTGGAGGAAGAGTGGCCAGGTATCCTTAGGTTTTCTTTAAGACTCACTGGAGCTCTTAAATCAATGGAGGGAAAGCTGGACTTTAAGAAACTCAATGAGAAATAAGTCTTCATGGACTGTAACTCCAGCAACAGGCACGTATGATTGGCAGCCTTTGCAACATCACCAGTACCAGGTGAGCAACAGCACATTTTAACACCAGATCCACAGAACTAAATGTGTGTGTGTGTGTGTGTGTGTGGGGGGGGCAATCAGATAACATACTGATCTTATGTTGATGGTCTAAGTCAATGGCTGAACTGATTACAAATGAGTGAGTGGAGGGTAGGTCTACAGAATTGAAAAGCCAAAGCCTTCTAGCAGTTCATCATCTTCGAGGCCCTAGGGAACATCAGGGATTGGATGTTCCACCACAGAAGAGTCTAAGTGGGGTCTCGGCTCAAGAAGTTCCTTTCAGGATCCTGATGTGTGCACATCTCGATCATGTGTGGGGCCTCTGAGCACCCCAGGGCACATCCTAATGCATGCATTTGCCCTCGGAGGGGGTTAGCCTTGGTTGTGCCCCGGGCTGGGTCACTGCGAGATTCCTTCCAGCCTGGGGTGGTGGAAGGAGGGAGAGCTGTCGGTGGTGGGGAGTAGAGACTCCAAGAGAAACAGGCCCCTGAACCATTGCTATAACTTCCCACACAAAACAGGAACATCTCTGGCAGATGATTCATCCCACTCAACGAACGCATGGGCACGAACACATATTTTCCCAGTTTGGGGAGTCTTTTTTCCTTCCCGCAAACCACCGTTTACTGACATGAGTGGACTTCAAAGCGCTTGTGTGGGGGGGTGGGGGGGTGGAATGAGGAGATAAGGGGGATTTTTCCACAAACATTTTGAAGTACCCCGTCCCCCGGCACATCAAAAACAAAAACAGCTCAGCCCCCAGCTGTGCAGGGCCTGTTGTGACCATCGTACGTGGGGATGCAACACTATTAGAGACCCCCTCCTAGAACGTGTCTGTTCAGGATCCAGGCAAACATGAGAAGCGAAGGAACAGGCAATGGAAAAAACGCCTCCAAGACTCCTCCCACCACGGTGCCCCCATCACCTCCCCAGCAGATGCTTAGCTCTCCATCCAATCAATGGCAGGTACACATGGGATGGCTCAGGTAGGACAGCATCACTCAGCGGTCTGAAGGAGGGCGACCATTGGTCACCCTCATTTCCCTGGAATGGCAGATGCATCAGACAGATGTGCTGCTTTGGTTTTCATTTTACATTGGAGAAAAACAAAAGTTTGAAAAGTACCCTCCCCCCTTGGAGTCAGTGGGGCTGGAGCCCTCCACTGTCGGCGGCAGTGGGAAGCACGTTACTGTTTGCTGGCAGGAGACCCCGTTCTCAGGGACAGACACATCTGCAGGCTGGTCCGGGAAGTCACACATCACCGTGCCACCCTGGC